TTTGACAACTTCAATCTTTTCTCCATTTATTGTGATGCTGCTTATTGGTCCAGTTGTGAGGATTTTTTTCTTTATGTTGAGATGTAATCCATGCTGCAGACTGTAGTTTTTAATCTTCATCACTAAGTGCTCCAAGTCATCCTCATTTTCAGCAAGCAAAGTTGTGTGGTCTGTTTATCACAGGTTGTTAATAAGCCTTCCTCTAATCTTGATGCCACATTCTTCTTCATATGGTCCAGATTCTCAGATTATTTCCTCAGCATACAGACAGAATAAGTATGGTGAAAGGATACAACCCTGACACACTCCCTTCCTCATTTTAAACCATGCAGTATCCCCTTGTTCTGTTTGAACAATAGCCTCCTGGTCTATGTAGAGGTTCCGCATTTGTACAATTAAGTGTTCTGGAATTCCCATTCTTCTCAATATTATCCACAATTTGTTATGATCCACACAATCAAATGCCTTTGCATAGTCGATATGTATTTCTTGTATTCTTTGCTTTGAGCAAAGATCAATCCGACATCAGCAATGATATTCCTAGTTCCATGTCCACTTCTGAATCCAGCTTGCATTTCTGGAAGTTCTCTGTCAATATACTGCTGCAACCATTTTTGAGTTATCTTCAGTAAGATTTTATTTACGTGCAATATCAATGATTTGTTCAATAATGTCCACATTCTGTGAGATCACCATTCTTTGGAATGGGCACAAATATGGATCTCTTCCAGTCAGTTGGCCAGGTAGCTGTCTTCCAAATCTCCTGATATAGCCAAGTGAGTGCCTCCAGTGTGGCATTCATTTGTTGAAACATTTCAATGGGTATTCCATCAATTCCTGGAGCCTGGTTTTTCACCACTTCCTTCAATACAGCTTTGACTTCTTCCTTCAGTACCATTGGTTCTCTTGATTATATGCCACCTCCTGAAATGGATGAACATTGACCAATTCTTTTTGGTACAGGGACTTTGTGTATTCCTTCCATCTTATTTTGATGTTTCTTGCATCGTTCAATATTTTGCCCATAGAATCTTTCAATATTGCAACTTGAGGCTTAAGGTTTTTCTTCAGTTCTTTCAGCTTGAGAAATGCTGTGTGTTCTTCCCTTTTGGGTTCCTAACTCCAGGTCTTTGCACATTTCATTATTTCAGTAATTGGTTTGTCTTCTCGAGTTGCTCTCTGAAATCTTCTGTTCAGCTCTTTGATCTTGTCATTTCTTCCATTTGCTTTACTTACTCCACTTTCAAGGGCAAGTTTCAGAGTCTCTTCAGACATCCATTTTGGTCTTTTCTTTCTCTCCTGTCTTTTTAATAACTTTTTGCTTTCTTCATGGATAATGTTCTTGATGTCATCCCACACTTCCTCTGGTTTTTGGTTATTGGTGTTCAATGCATTAAGCCTATTTCTTAGATGGTCTCTAAATTCAAGAGGGATATTTTCAAGGTCATATTTTGCCTCTTGTGGACTTATTTTAATTGTCTTCAACTTCAAGTTGAACTAGCATATGAGCAGTTAATGGTCTGTTCCACAATCAGCTCCTGGCCTGGTTTTGGCCGAAGATATTGAGCTTTCCCATTGCCTCTTGCCACAGATGTAGCCAATCTGATTCCTGTGTACTCCATCTGGTGAAGTCCATGTGGACTTTGCCTTATACCCTAGACACAGTAATTTCCATTAACCACTTTTTGATATGAACATAAATCCACAGAACTCCTTGGCTCAGCCCACTCACCACATTCTCTTTGAGTTCTTTTTATGGCACCAGAAAATTTCATCTAATTTTCTGTGTTTCAACTCCATTTGGGGACATGGAAATTTTTATCATCTATTTTGTTGCTCACTCAGTTTTGGTATATTTTCTTTCCCTTGACCCAAGTCAATACTTATCTCTTACTTATTTTACCATATTTTTTAAACCAGCTATATCTTATTATGTTTCATCTATCATTACATGTGTTTGAAGTGAATGGAGTTAAGATGGTAATGGTTGGCATTACAATTCCAACTTGTCTTAATTTGGTGTTAATATATCAAATAACTATAGATTAACAAAGTTTGTGTACATATACAAAAAGTGGTAAAATAAGTTGATAAACATATGGAAACACTGAATTCAAAAAGACAAAAAAATTTTATGTAAGTATTCACATGAAGTACCATTCTCATCTGTTAAATTTTTGTTAAAAGCTAATGAAGTTTACTAAGACAATGAATACCTTACCTGTGACATTGTAATTTCTCATAACTGTATTAAAAATCAAAATCCATAATTCCAACCCACAGTCTATCAGTATATTTTTGATGTTATGTGTCATCGAGTCAGGTCCGTCTCATAGTGACTCCTCCTTGGGTTTCTGAGGCAGTATCACTATAGAAGTAGATTGCCCAACCTTCCCTCTGAGGAGTGGTTGGTGGGTTTGAACCGCCAGTCTTCTGGTTAGCAGTCAAGTGGTTTAGACACTACACTACCAGAGCTCCTTATCAGTATATAGACAAACGTATCTTAAACTAATTTGAGGAATTTGCAGAAGATGTTTATAAAATTCTAAACAGGTAGTAATAAGTCCATGTATATTGATCACAAGGAGCTCTGGTAGCGTAGTGCCTAAGGCACTTGACTGCTAACAAGAAGGCTGGCAGTTCAAATCCACCAGCCACTCCTCTGAAGGAAGTTTGGGCAATCTACTTCCGTAGTGATACCGCCTTGGAAACCCAAGGAGGGGTCGCTATGAGTTGGGTCCAACTAGACGGCACATAACAACAACAACAACATATTGATCACAGCCAGAATTGATTAGAGAATACATTAGAATATATTTCATAAAAAAACAGAGCATATATTAAAGTTCAGGAAACAGTTAATTAGTCTTAGAAGAAATATTGCTGAGTTTGTATTTTTAAAATATCTTAGCTATATTATAGACTTATTTTTATATTCACAAATTTAAATCACACCTAACATTAGGCTCAAGTGTCCTGATGTCATTGAATAGAGATATCTTTAGTTGTACCAAAAAAGAAAAGACTGAAATTCATTTGGAAAATGATGCTGGCTCTGCACATACAAGATATGTGACATGGAGGTGAGCAGAAACAGGTGTAGAAAGGTGAATGGCATGCAGCTGGGCTCACATGGTGAAGAAATGCACAATCCTAAATTCCACCTTCTAAATATCTGGTGCCGTAGTGCCTAATGCATTTGACTGCTAACCAGAAGGTTGGCAGTTCAAACCCATCAGCCACTCTTCAGAAGCAAGGTTGGGCAATCTACTTTCATAGAAATACCACCTCGGAAACCCAAGGAGAGGTCGCCATGAGTCAGATCTGACACTACAGCAGTGAATAAAGTCTCAGCCTTTTAAGATTGTTTACTGTCCTTGGATCAGAATGACAATAAATGTGTTGGGCTAATGAGGAGCTTTGGATATTGAGCCTTCAGGGATATAGAGACTATAAATAGTCTGCCTGTGACATCTCAGGTAAGCATCCTTCCCCTGTAGGAGATGGAACACATGACTCTCTTCCCAGAGGTGGCCATTTTTACTCAGGAGCTTAGAGCTTCACTCAGATCCTCTGTCTTTCACGAAAACAGCTACAGCTCTTCAGGCTTCTACATCCAGAGCAGATGTAGGTTCCTCAGGGATGCCAGCCAGGTAACCTGAAGTCCATTAGGTTAGGTTTGGAAAGGAGGACAGGTTTGTTATAACAACATCCAGTAGAATGATGCGTGTGAAGAGAACACAAACAGGAAACGATTAGAACTGAGTCTCCCACTGGAATCTCGATTGTCATTTTCTTGTCAGGTTTCATTATATCGTTTCACAAACATAGAGAGTTCTTATTGTACCAGTCTCTTGCACTGTCTCTGCAATTGCAAGGATGATTTTCCTATTGAGCAAAGCCTAAATTTTGCCAAATATATTGACTATGATGAAATTACCTGACATTTACTTGCATTTTTCTAATGGTGATGGTGGTAGAGGAAGGTTTGTCAGCTTCATCTTATCTCCCTGGTTCTTACTACATCTTTGTATTATCTCTATGGCTTGGCTCTAATATCTGGGGAAGGAGATGGAGACTCAGAACGACTCATCAATCTGTCTCTTGAGTCTATCTATTTCTCTTTATAAAATTATTGAATATTTTAAATCATCATAAAAACACAGATAGGGTTATAAAGAATAACTGTCCCCATGATTTTCCAGGCTAACTAAATGTTG